TGTGTGTGTGTGTGTGTGTGTGTGTGTGTGTGTGCGGGCGCGCACACATGCCTGTCTGAGGATATTTCTGTGGCCGTGATATCATTTGTATCCACGTGTCTGTGCTTCGCAGGTGACACGGTTGGGTGTGAGGTGTGTATATGACCACACGTGCCTGTTTTTGTGACACTGTTGAGACAGTATGAGGGTATTTGTGTGGCCCTTGTATTCACACTCTTAGGGCATCATTTCTAGAAGAAACCTTGGAGGTTATCTCCGGCCCTCACATTTACAGTTGGGGAAATAAAGGTCCACAGAAGGGAACAAGGATTCGCTCTGTAATCTTGGGCAAGTACTGTACCTCCATGGACCTCACTGTCCTCATCTTTAAATGTTAAAAAAGAATTTCTTAATGTTTATTTATTTTTGAGAAAGAGAGAGACAGAGTGCAAGCAGGGGAGGGGCAGGGAGAGAGGGAGACACAGAATCTGAAGCAGGCTCCAGGCTCTGAGCTGTCAGCACAGAGCCCGACGCGAGGATTAAACTCACGAACTGTGAGATCATGACCTGAGCCGAAGTCGGATGCTTAACCAGCTGAGCCACCCAGGCGCCCCTCAATTTCTTCATCTTTAAAAGAGGGATAACATAGGGGTGCCTGGCTGGCTCAGTTGGTAGAGCACATGACTCTTGATCTCGGGGTCGTGAGTTTGAGCCCCATGTTGGGTGTAGAGATTACTTACCAAAAAACTAAAAAAATAAAATCTGTTGAATAAAATAAAATGAGGGGGTGCCTGGGTGGCTTAGTCAGTTAAGCGTCTGATTTCGGCTCAGGTCATGATCTCACCACTTGTGAGTTCAAGCCCCGTGTCGGGCTCTGTGCTGACAGCTCAGAGCCTGGAGCCTGCTTTGGATTCTGTGTCTCCCTTTCTCTCTGCCCCTCCCTCGCTCATGCTCTGTGTTTCTCTCTCTCAAGAATAAATAAAACATTAAATTTTTTAAAATAAAATAAAATGAGGATGACCTATATGATGGAATTTTCTGGAGGACTAAAGACAGACAGTGTTTATAAAGCCCGCAGGATAGTACTTGCGTGGGTAGGCATTCCACACACGTTAGGTATGATTCTTCTGTTATTACCATCACCACTATTCAAGGCTGCCGGCCGATTTGTGGCAGAGCCTGGTCTGATGTGTGACAGCTGGATGCCCTCCCCACCATGGTACTTCTTCAGCATGGACGTGTGTGTGTGTGTGTGTGTGTGTGTGTGTGTGTGTGTGTCTGTATTCCTGCATACATCCATCCTTTTAGCAAACATGGGGTGTGGGGTAGGCCGGGGGAGGGGCCTGCACATCACTTAGGAAGCGTGTTTGCACAGCTGTGTGTATCCGTGTGTTTGTATCTGCCACAAACTTCTGTGCAACCGTGTGGACCTTGGGTGTTGCTGCCAGTGCGTCCCTCTGCACATGGCTGTGGGTGTTTGTGGACGCGGAGCCGTGTGGCCGTGGGTGTGCACCACGGATGTGCCCCCCGGTGCATGGGTGTGAAAGAAAGGGTGGCTTAGAAGCAGGGCCCAGGAAGGGTTCAGGGCATGGAGGAGGGCTTAGGAGCTTGGGATCCTGGCGGGTCCAGAGTTGAGGGTGTCGGGGGCCCAGGTGGGAGCATCCCTGCCCAGGGGTCCCTCACTCAACCTCCCCTGCTCACCAGCGCCGGGCTTATTTCCGCCTCTGGAATACTGCACTGAGGGGATTCCTGGCCATGCCGGACCATGCGGAGGACATGAAGGCGGGCCGTGTGGTGGTCTCCCAGCCCCAAGAGGGAGGCAGCTTCATCTGGTACTACGAGGACGGGCTGCTCAAGAACCAGGTACGAGTTGAGGGGCAGGGACAGGGACCCCGGAGCCTCAGGCACTCAAAGGCCCATTTCCAGGGGAAATGCCAGCCTGCCCGTCAGAAGCAGGACCTGCCCTTGGGCCAGAGAGATAGAGAGATACACACAGATGCCAGGACCCTGGGCAGGTAGAGGATGCAGGCGCTGCTTCCCTGGGCAGTTTGGGCTCTTCTCTGGGCCTCGGTTCCCCATCTGTAAAACGAGAGCGTTGAACCAGACCCTTCTAAGGGACCTGCCAGCTCTGATATCCTGGGGAGAACTTGGGTCCTATTAGTAATGACAGATTCATGGGGCGCCTGGGTGGCTCAGTCGGTTAAGCCTCCGACTTCGGCTCAGGTCACGATCTCACGGCTCGTGAGTTCGAGCCCCGCATCGGGCTCTGTGCCGACAGCTCAGAGCCTGGAGCCTGCTTCAGATTCTGTATCTCCCTCTCTCTCTGCCCCTCCCCCACTTGTGCACGCGCGCGCGCGCTCTCTCTCTCTCTCTCTCAAGAATAAATAAACATTAAACAATAATAATAATGATGATAGATTCACTCCACAAACATCTCCCGAGCACCTACTATGTGCTAGGCCCTGTTCTAGGGGCCGGGAATACAGCAGTGAGAAGACGGAAATGACTCCTGCCCTCCCGAAGCCTACATCGTAGGAGGGGAGAGACAGAGACAATTTAAATGAGTCAAATATCTCTGTGCCTTAGGTGATGCGAAGCGCAGGAGAAAAAAGTAACTAGAGGAGACTAGGGAGTACCGGTAGCTGTGACAAGGCCGACTCTCCCCCAGAGGGTGGCATTTGAGGGAGCCATCTGTGTAGATGTGCGAAGGAAGAGTGTTCCAGGCAGAGGCAGCAACAAGTGGAAAGGCTCTCGGGTGGGAAAATGCTTGGCAGCAGGACTAGAAGTTTCCCCCACTGGCTGGAGCGAGGCGAGGGAGGGAAGGTTACGGCGGTGCGCACCTTTGTAGGCCATCGAAGGGGTTTCGTCTTTTACTTACTCTCCATTTCATAGGTGACGAAACTAGAGCACAGAGAAGTTAAGTAACAAGCTGAAAGTCACACAGTCAATTAGTGTGTGAGAGCTTGTCCGATGTTAAATCCTGTGCGTTGGGAGGCAGCCATGAAAGTCTTCCTGGACGAGCTACTTTTTTTCCAGACCTTTGATGGTCTTTCACACCGAACCCTCACAACAGCCAGCACTCAGGGATTCCCATCCCCAAGGAAAACAAAACTCAGAAGAATTAAGAGATTGGCCCAGGGTCACAGTCCACGAGAGCCAGGATTCAAAGCTGGGCGTGTCAAGGGTGTCGGGCTGGAGGAGACCCTGTGGGGAGGAACAGTGCCTGATCACCTGCTGGGGCCTCAGGTGGCCCCTACCATGAGCCTGCAGGTGATTGGGCCCCCCAGCACGGGCTCCAAGGTGGTACTGTGGGCTGAGAGCCGCCTGCCCCGCCAGACGTGGAGCATCAGCGAATCGGGCCACATCTGCAGCGAGATGTTCGAAGGCCGGATCCTGGATGTGAAGGGTAAGGGGGCACGTGTGCGGGAGAAGGCACCTGAGGCGGCTGCGGGCAGTGGAGTCCTCAGCAATCTTTGACCATCTTCCCCATCTCTTACCCCTTCCCACAGGCGGCCGGGGCTATGACCGGGACCACGCAGTGCTGTGGGAGGTGGCCAAGGACCGGGCGTCCCAGATCTGGACAGTCCATGTGCTCTGACCACCCCCACCTCCCAGCCCTGGAGGCTTTCCCTGGGATGAAATGTTTTTATAGGTTTTTTGTCGTTGTTGTAACATAAGCTATTTTCTAATATGCTCCCAGGTATCCTCATCTTTGTGCACCTCGATATTTGGGGCTGGGGTGCGGAATTGTTCACCTGCCTTCTTTGCCCGGTACTCGCCCTACTTTTCTCCCAGCTCAGGTTCTAGGGCTCAGGTGTAAGGCCTCCCTCTGCCACCAGAGGGAGCCCTGGGCCCAGACTAACCGTGAGTGTGGTCTTTAAAGCTGTCTGTCCCCCTTCAACTGATGGGTTCCAAGAGCCTGCTCTGAGTCCAGTCTGGCGCTGAGCTGTGGGGCACAAACACGAGCCAAGCCCCTTGGTACCTGCCCTCAGAGAACTCACAGTCCAGTGGCAGATTTTGACAGGTAGGGTGATACACTGAGTGATAAGAACGGAAGTAGAAGGATGCACCGGGGAGGAACCTGAACCACTTAGGGGCACAGGGCAGGCCGCTCGGAGGAAGGGATGCTCCTTCCTGAGGTGTGGAGAATGGGAAGGAGTCAGCCAGGCTAGGGGGTGGTACAGGGAGAGTGTTCTAGGGAGGCAGACAGTGTGATGGGGTCACAGTGGGCCAGGCAAGGGAAGTGAGTGGGAGACACAACATTCGCCTTGCCCACCAGCACTCCTCTTAATTTCCCCCCACTCCGGTCTCAAGGCCTAGAGGTCTGGCCTCTCAGTCAAAGAAGCTAGGACAGGGGGTCTGAGTTCTTAACCCAGCCCAGAGATGGCAGGACCTAGAAGAACAGCCCCCTCCATCACCCAGTTGAGCCAGCACTTCCCGGTCCCTTGGCCAAGGTCTTCTAGGAAGAGGCAGAGACGGTCAAGGCCCTTGGGGGCTTCTCTGGGTCTCCCTTCCCTCCTCATAGCTCCCAGTACCACCACCGCAGACCCAGGAGGGTAGAAGTGGTTAGAGCAGTTGTGCGTCCTTCCTGCCTTCCCGGCCTGGGGTCGGCGGGGAGGAAGTGGGCGGCCTCCTCTTCATCCTTCTCAGCACCCCTGCTGGACCAACATCCAGTATCCGGTGAGGACAGGAGGGTGACTGTGGGGCTGAGCCCTTGCAGCTGGGGACGTCCAGGGATGGGGTTGGGGCTTCCTCTGGGACCATCGTGCCCAAACACCCAGGGATGGGTGAAGCAGGTGCAATTAAAGAGGTTGGTGAGGGTGGCAGGCTCTGGGCCATGTCCCTGCACAGGGATCCTAAGGGGAGAGGCCAAGGCACTGGGACTTCGAGGCAGGAACGCTGGGGTCAGCGCCCTCTGGTGCTACCTCTCCTCCTTCCCCTGCATGGGAAGGTCCTTGGTGCTACCGCCAACCTGGCTCTTGGGGCCCAGTGACGTCCAGTGACCACACACGGGACCCCACTCCAAGTACAGGACAACTTTATTGACCTCCAGCTGGGTGGTACTTGCCCCCTTCACATCAGTACCTCCTGGTGTTGGTCATGCCTCCAAGGCACTACCTGTCAATTCCCACAACCTGGTCATCTCTGGCACCAACCCCTCCCAGGGGCTGGGTGGGAGGAGCTTCTCTTGCTAGAGATGGTGGCAGCCGAGCGATGGTCTCAGGGGGCACGGGGCTAGGGCTGAGGCATGTCACCTCAGCTGAGGTAGAAGAACTGGACGAGGATGTTGGCCAGGAAGAGAAGGACACTGCCGCCGCTCAGGCTGCTGAGGGGCGGGGTCGCACTCTTGGGTTTCTTGGTGGTGGTGGCGGCGGTGGTGGTGTTTCCCAGGACTCCGGTCTGTATCTGCAAAAGAAGAAGTAGGACGAGCTCGGGGCACTTGCAAAGCTCATGTTATCTAGAGACCTAGTTCCCCTACCCTGATACCATAGTTCTCAATTCTCTGTCCCTCATGACCACGACTTCTGCCGCAAGGCCCTGCAAGGACAGTTGGTTGCTTCCTGCCATGACACAGCCAAGGTGAAAGGGGGTTCCTCCTCCCCTTACCACGGGACCTTCCTTTCACCTCCGCTAAGCCACCAGCTCCTCCAGGGCATGGGGGATGGGAACCTGTGGTCTCGGCGCCTGACCTGACTAGCTGGGCTAGGGCCTGAGACTCTGAGCCTGTTTCCTCATCTTCTGAATGAGCCCATCATATAGTCTTGAGGTCCTGTGTCACACGGCCGGGCAGGGAGAAGGTACCTGGCAACGGGTGGGTGGGTGCGGAGGTGGGGAATGTGTGACCTCTTGCTGGAGGAAAGCACCAGATGGTTGATCAAACTGTTCTCAGTGCTTGATCAGGCTGCAACTAAAGCTGCTCCTGATGGAGATTAAGCTGTTTTTGATGGTGATCAAGCTGTTCTTGATGCTTGATCAAGCTGTTCTTGATCAAGAACTTGATGGCTCTGGTCTCCTACCGGGACTAGTGCCCTCAGGGCACATGGGATACTGTGAAAGCTGCCTCCTGGAATAGCAGCTGAGTCTGAGTCTGCGGCTGTTTCTGGAGCAGGAGATTTCCTTCTTCTTTGCATTCCCAGACACACTGGCTTCTCTCCCTGGGGGGATCCCTGCTATCTCCACGACCAGATCTGGCTCCACCTGAACATGTCTTGGCCCCTTCCCAACAGGGCCACTTCCCCAGCTCCCCGTGGATTGATGCCTTCCTCACTCAGAGATGCTTCAGCCCTTATCCCACAACACCCCCTTGCGTGCCTCAGTGTGCCTGGTGCCCTGTGAATGCTCCCCAGCCTCAGGTCCAGGATTCTGCCCAGAGACAGACCTCAAGCAGTCTGACCCCAGCCAGAAGGGCTGGAATGCTGGGACCAGGCCCCTGAGTCCTCGGTTCCCCTGCTGGAGCCTGTGTTCCCATGCAAGAAGGCTCAGTGCCGGGAAGCCTGTATTTCCTCCCTCCCATGCCAGGCAGGTCTGGAGAATCCTGGGCGGTGGTGCCAGGGGCTCCCAGGGTCTGTTCTTACCTGAATCATAACCAGGAGACTGATGGTGAGTAGGAGGAAGAGGAAGCCCTTCATCTTGGGGGAATCTTGGTGGCTCTCTTGGTAGCAGCTTTTAGAGATGAAGGCAGGGTTGTCTGCAGGCTGCTTGGCTTGGCTGCTTTTGAACCAGGAGGCAGGGGAGGCGGGGTAGAAGCGGGAAGAAGGAGGGCCCAGGGGTGGGGGTGCTGCTTCCTTTTTACAGAATTCAGGATTGAGTACACCAGGCCCTAGATTCATAAGGCCCCCTGTAGATGGTGGGTTCTGGATGGGGACCGAGGCCAGTCTGGGGACGGAGGTGGGCAAAACAATGCAGCAGCTGCGGAGACAGTAAGCAGGGCTCTGGGCCTGGAGTCATGCAGAGTGGGCACGGAATCTTGGTTTAATCACCTATCAACCCTGAGACCCTGGGCCAGAAACTGTCCCTCTCTGACTTTTAACACAAGAGCTGCCAGGGATTAAATGCAATGTAATTAAGACCGGAGCAGGGGAGGGGAGCGGATTTAAGACCTAGAATTTTGTAATTTGGATACAGAAAATAGCAGATCGGTTGTTTGTACTGTCGACCTTAAAACATTTCTTTGATCAGCAAAAATGGGTTTATTCAGGAAGAGCAGAGAATTGCAATTTGGGATAAGCAAGTGACACCCCAAACCAGAAGATAGATAAGCAAAAGAGAGAAACTTTATTTAAAACAGAAGGAGGAGGAAGTTGGGAGGGGTTGTTTTGAACAAAAGTGCCAGAGTCATGATGATTTCTCATTGGCTGAGTTGCTGGGTAGTCAGTTTCTTTCAGGAGTTTGCCGTGTACAGCTTTTCCTGTTGGGGTCTGTAAACGGACAGTTCTTTCTGTCATTGAGGTTGAGTGGTATGGCAGGAGAGCTCCCCCTTCTAGCCTCTTTGACTCCATTTTACTGAGGTTTCCTTTTATTTCCACATTTCCTTCTTCTGATCAAGAACTTTCTTGAAAAGCATCTCCGATCAAGAGTCAGGTTTTCCTAGTTCAGTGGCCTTTTGTCCCTCAGTGCCAGGAAGTGCCTTTCCTGGGTGTCATGTCCCAATCCAAGGGCAATTGTACAGGCTGGAAACTCACATCTGAGTGAGAAGGAGGGGAATCAAGAGAATTCTCAGGCACTTCCCAGCTAGAGTCCATAGTTATCAAGGATGTAGTATTGGAGATCATCTCTTTATTGGGTACATTATTTTACAAAGGTTTGACAGGCAACAAGTATAGAATCAAAAGTAACACGACAGGGGTGCCTGGGTGGCTTAGTCAGTTAAGCATCCAACTCTTGATTTCAGCTCAGGTCATGATCTCACGGTTCATGAGTTCGAGCCCCACATTGAGCTCTGTGCTGACAGAGCCTGTTTGGGATCCTCTCTCTCTCTCTCTCTC